TTTGAGACAGGGTCTCACTCTCACTATGTAGCCCAGGCTTGCCTTGAACTCAGTGATCCTCCTGCCTCAGCCTCCCCAGTGCTGGGATGACAGGCGTGCGCCACCACATCCAGCAAAATGTGCAAACTCTTTAAACCAGTCTTTCCACACTGAAGATGCAGTGTGAAGGAAACAATCACTGCAAAAGCAAACCCTTTCTCCTTACAGAGTTACACTAAAATTCATGTGTGATACAATTGTACTATGCATGCACATGAGCATCACCCTAGATTTGTTTTCTAAAATACACACATGCACACAGGCACACGCCAGCAGCTGTGCTCTTGGACTTTCCTTCTGGATAAATGCAAATTATATTTGCACAAAAATCTGCCCATGAATGTTCACAACAGCTTTATTTGTAATAGCCAAAAGCTGAAAAGAACCAGTCCCAGCTGTTACAATTCCATTTGTACACTACTCTCCAAATAACAAAATTATAGAGAATGAAGTACAGAGTTACTGGGGGTTGCTGGAGGCTGAGGAGGGGGTGAGGTAGGAGGGAGGGCACCAGGGGGATCCCTGTGCCAAGGAGAGGCTGTGTATCTTTACTTATCAGCACCGGTGTCCCGGTGCGACACCCTGCCCTGCTCCCCAAGGCAGAATCAGAGGAAAAGTACTAAGGGGTCTATGGGGTCTTTCCCTATTACTGCTCCCAAATGCATGAAAATTCTATTACAACAAGTTCCAATTTCAAAAGTTTCAAAAATGTACACAAACAAAAGACTAGAAGAAAACAGATCAGAACTCCTGTAAGCAGTTACCAAGTTTGTGTTTCTATTTTCTTTTTTTATACTCTCTTATGACTTTTTGTCTATTTTTAAACTTTCTAACATTTCTAGAAAAACAATACAATAAGAATCACTATCAAAAAATATATCTGGATAAGTATATCGAATTCAATAGATTTTTTTTTCCAAAAATAAGAGTGTACAACAGCTTTCAAAGAAACTACAAAAATAAAACAAGTCTCCACCAATAGAAGGAGAAAGGCACGGTAATTTGTTAGTTGGACTGGATTAAGAGACTCATGGAGAGGAGAGTGGATCCTGGGCGCTGTACTGGTCCGTGGATTAACGAACTGAGTGAGGCTCAGAGCTGAGTGTGTCAGGAGGCTGGTCACCGGGGCTGCCTTTGGCGGGTGTGTCTCTCGCTGGTCTCTGCCCTGTGCTCTGTTTCCGGGCCTCCATGAAGAGAGCTGCTTTGCTCCGCTATGCCCTTCTGCCATGACATTTCTGCCTTGGAGCCAGAGGATAAATAGGAACCTCTGAAAGCAGGAGTGAAAATAAGCCTTCCCTCCCTTTCACTGTGTGTCAGGTATCTCGTCCTAGCGATGGTAAGCTGACTAACACACACAGTGAGTTTCATCCCAGAGAAATCCTACAACAAGCAGGGAGAGGGCCCAAGCCCAGGAGCCTGGATTCACAGCCCAGTGTTCCTTTACAGATGGAGGACAAGCTCACTTCTAAGGCCCCTAAATGCCTCTCTGAAGGTCCTGGTCCTCCCTCTCAGTTCCCTTCAGGTCCCCTCATCCTGGTCACAAGTCCAGAGGCCTTCATGTACCAGGGGTACAGAGTGCAGCTGAGCTCTGGTAGAGAACCCCCACTCCAGAATCCCAAGTCTCCTGAAAGCACCAAAACCAGAAACAACAGAGCCTCTTCTTCACCTAGGCCTGCTGCCTCATCCTTTTCTCAGACACCAACTTCTTTGTTGCCAGCTCCTGCAACCAGAAACCAGTCAACCTACGATCCCCTCGCTTCGTCCCAGTGTTGAGACTGGAGAGCAGACCCCACCTCGAATCCATCTTCTCTCCTTTCTCCCTCCCGCCTTGGCTCTAGCTCAGTACTTACTTTTTCACCCAGCTTCTACATCTGCCTCCAAATGCTCTTCTCTGCTTCTAGCATCCCGTGGCACAAACCCAACCTTCTCAAATCAGAGCCCAAGATGTTTGTATTTTTAACTTTTGAGTCTAATTTTTAATAACTTTAGAAAACACTAGGTTTAATGTCAACTTTTCTTGGTAGTGATAATTTGGCACTGAAAGGTTATTTTCAGAGGTGATACTTTGATTTCTTTGGCTGGTGTTTCCCAAAACAAGACCCAAGAGAAGCTTTTCTCCGAAGAGGAAATTGCTCAAGTGCAAGCCACACTGGCTTTGGTGGCGTTGCACCCTTCTCAGTGGCTGTGCTGTGATCGCTTGTTACAGTCCCTCGTCTCTCATCCTCGGCAGCATCACCTGGAATTCAGAGACGAGCAAAACGCCCACAGCTCATCGTGAGAAGGCAGGAAGATTGCGCACATAAAGGACTCAGTATAGCTCCCCGGGATGTGGGACCAGGCACACATTTCAGCTAATGCAGCAATGGGGTCCCATCATGAGAGCCTTTCACATTTCGTTCTCAATGGCTCCCAAGGTAAAATAGCAATTCCTTAACTGGTTTCTCTCCAACGCCCTCCCTCAGTTGCCTGCTGCTTGGCCAAGTTGATGGCTGTAGCGGTGGCTGATTTAGGCTCCCTGGGCCGGACAGTCAACCCGGCTGGGTCAGTCCCCCTTGGCACCCCTCCTCCAAGGTTCAGCCTTCATGCCTGCCTGAGCCCTTCTCTCCCAAGGGGCCTTGGATGGAAACCACTACAGTGTCATCGCCCCTTCTGTCTCTCTGTCCAGGGACAGGGAGTGAAGGGGCTCTCAGCTCCTGTGTCTCAGTGCCTGAGATGTCCCCGGGCTCTGCACTGAGGACCTGGGGCTGCATTCTGGCAGCTGGAAAGCAGGGCCAGGCCAAATCCTGGTTTGTACGTCCAGCAGAGTGTGCAGCCGTCTCTCCACTGCTGTCCCTGCACTGGGCCACCTACAAGGACCAGAGTGTCTGCACCTCATGGAAACTCTGGGTCTTCATTGCTTTGTCAAATGCCCAGGACCAGCAGCTGCTTAGAAACAGTCTGCAGAAGGGATGAATAGCAGCATCCGGCCTGTGGGGCTGTGGTCATTCAGCGAGAGTCTCACAGCTTGTCATCCAAAACTGAACTCCAAATGCAGAGAGTTGTAAATCAACATTTTCATCCACTGCTGCCTTGTAGTTGTCTTAAAATAATGGGGCAGCAATTCCTTGGCTGCTTTTCAGTGAAATAAAAAAGGCAGTTCTGAACCAAATATGGGTATATTTCTCTTGAGTTTTAAAAGATAATCAAAATCGATTTTATGAATCCCAGCAGTAAACACACACCACTCATGTCAGAAAAACACATTTCCAGGTGGCGAGTGAGAATGAAGACATACTATCAAAGGTGTTTTTTTTTTTGTTGTTGTTGTTGTTGTTTTTTGAGACAGGGTCTTACTATGTAGTTGAGACTGACCTGGAACTCACTGTGTAGCCCAGGCTGGTGTTGCTGGTATTGAACTCACAGAGATCCTCCTGCCTCAGCCTCCCAAGTGCTGGGATTATAGGAGTCGCCACCACGCCTGGCTCAAAGGTATTTATTAATCCAGTGGACAAAAATAGGACTTGAAAGATTCCAGATTTTACCCTAAAATCAAAAGTCATTTCTGGCATTTGTTTGTTTGATAAAAGATATACAAAGAAGGAAAGAGGTCAGCCTGGATCAAACTGGTGGCACAAAAACTAGAAGAAAATATTCCATTTGAAGGTAATGAGAAAGGTCTGAGACACAGCACAGTAGTAAGAAACATGAAATCACCATCTCCTGACACATTCCTTGGGCACCCACCTCACCCCCACTACCAAGGAAACCTGGAGAGACATCAGGAAACTGTTACCTGAGAAGGGGGAGGCAGGGCAGAGGGCTGGAAAGAGAAGCAACTGGGCAGAAAGGTCTCTAAGGAAGGAAGCCAAAAGTCTCTGTAAATAAGGAGCCTTTTGAATAATAGGAAAAAATTAATAGCACACACTGAGAGAGTTTTCCTAATAGATAGCACCTGGGCAAAGTAAAAGGACCAAAAGGAGCACCGGATGTCTCTAAATGTCTATGATGCAAAGCCCCGCTGGCTCCTCTATGCGAAATGTGGCTTTGAGGGACAGCTCCACTGACGGGAACGTAGTCCAAACCTCCGAAGACCTAGGGTCACCGAGCTTTCCACAAAAAGAGTTTGGAGCTGTTCGTTGCTGGTGACCCTTTATAACCCAGTCTAGCGACTCTGCGCTCTCGCTCAGTATCGGGTGAATGGCCAGGGCTCCCAGACGCAGCTTCTCCCCAGCGCCGCAGATGTGAGGCTCCATCGCCCTTGCAGTGATCCCAGGCTGCAGGCATCAGCAGCGGGCCACCTCCTCCTTCCCAGGAGCAAGGACAACGTGGACGGCTCACGACCGCACCTGTGCACCACAACTGGCGGAGAATACGGTAAAGAAAATGTACCAAGCGATGCAGCTCCCTCCTTGTGGACGGTGGGAGACAGAAGAGCAGCAGCTAATTCCTTTAGAGACGTAGGATCCATTGGGGAAGGAATACAGGTGCGTTCTTTTTCCATTACAGTACAGGTCTTCGTCAGCACACGTGTGCACTACGTAATGTTTACGTTCCTCGGGGTGTAACACATCTTAATCCCCTCCTTCCCTCCACCTCCTGGTCCCTCCTTTCCCTTCTGTAAGATGTCTGTTTCCTATTATCTGTCTTTTATTTTACTCTTTATTTATACTTTGGGTTTCTCACATAAGAGAAACCAAGCGATAGTTAAGCTTGTGTGTCTGATTTATTTTACTTAACATTAGGGCCTCAAGGTGCATCCATTTTCCTACAATGCCTCAGGCTTCCCTTCCTTTGCGGCAGAGTAGTCTATTTAAAAATGAGAAAGGTCGCCTTCTCATGTCTTGCTAGTCACATGTGGAAAAGCATCTGGGTTAATGCATGGCTGGTGGGGATGCAAAATGGTTCTGATGCTTTGGGAAACAACCTGGCAGATCCCCGAGGTACCGCACGGTTTCCACGTGACCCAGAGAACCTCCCTAGGTACAGGTACCCAAGACGGTGGAAAACGGATGTCCCACACCGAAGACGTTTCACTATCTGTGTCACCTCAGCAGCGCAGACAACCTCCGGGCAACGGACGCACACGCGGGGGCCTCACAGTGGCGTGAGACCGGCTCCGGAGAAGAGCGGCTAGAACAGGCGGGCTGGGCCAGGCAAACCCTGGCAATGGCAACACCTCCTGTGAAGAGCCGGGTACTGTGTTAGTCCCTGCAAGGAGGTCAAGGGGATGAGTAAAATAGGAGCGGGGGCAGGGCACTCGCTGCCGACGGGTACAGGTTTCTTCTGGGTGATACAAATGTTCGAAACGCCACTGTGCTGATGACTGTACAACTCCACAAGCCAAGTGAAAAACTCACTGAAGTCGACAATGCAGGTGAATCCTGTCGCGTGGGAACCCTATCTCAGTAAAGCTGTCCTTTTTAAAAGCACATGAGGGGCTGGATGTGGTGGTGCACGCCTGTAATCCCAGCACTCGGGAGGCTGAGGCAGGAGGATCATTGTGAGTTGGAGACCAGCCTGGACTACATAGTGAGTTCTAGGTCAGTCTCAACTACACAGTGAGACCCTGTCTCAAAAAAAAAAAAAAAAAAAAAGTACATGAGGCAGGCACTTAGCACAGGAAGTGGACAGGTGAGGGTCAGGCAAATGCTGGGAGGACCTGGGCATGTGGACAAAAGGGCTCAGCACAGCCCTGGCATCTCCTACCAGGTTTCCTGCTAACAGACTGACGGGGCGACGACAAAAGGGCTAAATGAGGTGCTTCAGCGCAGCGCCCGACCTATGAAATTCCTTCTTCTATATTCTCTCGGGGAACACAGGCCCTCGGACGCCTCAATTCTTAGAAAGCCTTGTGAGAAAGACACTGTCATTCTAGTGTTTGTGACTACCAGGAGCAGAGCTACTAGTGGCATAGTGTAAACTAAACCCAGTGTACAAAGGCCTCTCTCTGAGTCTTCAGCAGGATGAAGGTCAGAGCTACCACAAAAACAAAAGCCAGGCCATCAGCCTGTATTTAACATGATTAGGGAGAAAGTTAAAACCAATACAAGGGTCACAGAGATTAACACAGAGGTTTTCAGTGGTCAGAAGACAGATGTAGCTCAATGGTGAAGCCTGGTACAGGCTCTAAGGTTCAACCCCAGGACCACAAACAAACAGTTCAGAAACTGTGTCCCGACACAAAGGAAATTTCAGAAAAAATATGGAGAAATCAACCAGGCAAATGAATTCACTTTGACAGTTGTTAAGTCTTTTTGTTGTGCCAGAGGAGAGCTGAGATATCAAGGATAATCAGTCTGCTAGCTGAGCTAAAAAACGGAGACGGCATAGCTCTACAAAAGGGCAAACAAATTATCCACCACTCCAACAGTTCTGCTATGTGAGCTAAAACTCAGTGGAAGATTTTCCAGATTTTTATGAAAATGGTTTAATACTTAGAATACTAACACTAAAATTTATTCCCGTGAATATCCTTCGACTTGTGCATACGAAAGCATCAAACAGCAAAGCTAGAGATTAACTTTCATTAGAAGTTTTTGGACTTTAACCACTTTCCCCAAGATGGACGGTTATGCTTCTGCAAGTTCCACAGACCATCAAATGCAGCAGCTTTTGTGGGCCGAGGCCTTAATAACTCATTCAGGCTCTCCCCCAACAAGCCAAGCTCTACTGGGACTTTTCACATCGATGCCAACTTGTCTCACGCCGTTTTTTATTAACAAGCTTTATTTTTGCTAGTGTGTCTAATAATGGGGCACATGATCTCTTGTCCTGGCCTCATTATTCTAGATTTCTGGAGGGGTTCGCCATTCCCCAGCACAACCATGCTAGGTCCTGCTGAGATGAACCCAGTGTCTGGAAAATACACAGAGAAGGCTCCATCCCAGAAGGCATGAGACTAATCTTGGCGTCAGGGAGAGAAGCACTGCGGAGAATGTTACATGGTAAGTGGAAAAGGAGGTGGTGAGTACATTTTTGGCTTCACAGTACCAGGCAAAGCCTTAGGAAAGAGTCTTTGCACACAGAAGCACAGTTTAGACCTTCTCAAGTATAAATAAATGTGATCTCTGACTTTTCTGGTGGTGGTTTAAATTGTCTCCCGTTCTCATCTTGTACTGAAAGCCCAGGAAAATCATAAATAAGAAATGGCGTTGCCGCTGAGGCAAGGAGGGGAGCAACTGGGGAAGCTGATCTCCAAAGCGCCCCTAAGAGCGGTGGTACACACAGGTGCCACCGCCAGCTGTTTGTTGGCACTGAGAGCTCTTAAGGTTTGCCAGCACTGCCCTAAGAGGTACAGCAAGCAAAGATCATGGATTCCAAGAAGACAGAGACCAACAGGGCTAAAAAAATCCCCAGCCTGTCACCCTGGGCGTGTGCCTGACGGGTGTCACTGTACCTCCGGGAACCGGCCTCTCCTTGTGTGAAGGTGGCAGGCGTCTGTCGAGCGGTTATAACATGCATGGTTAACAGTGCAGGCTGCTTCAAAGATAAGCCACCTGCCCCTATGTGACAGCCGTGGTTCAGTCATGACACTGCCAAGCGCATTTCCCTGGAAATCCTGCTCTGAACCCAGTTCCGCCTGCCCTGCTTGTACCGGAAGCCCCGGGACACCTGCCCATTGCTGCAGGCCCGGCAGGCAGCTGAGCTACACGCGCCAGCGAGGCCAGCACCAACCTCCGCACGTTGCAGGGCCTTCCACGCACTCCAGCCGAGAGGGTCTGCCCCACCAGGCTTCTTCCTGCAGACTTTCCGAGACAGCAACCTACTCTGACATTTTCACAACTCGTGTGTGCATGTAAATGTCCACATCTGCATACAGGCATCTGTACTGACAGACACTTGTAATTACAGCAATTCTTACCTGTACAACCTGACAAGCACCTATGTTATATGTGGCAATCGGCTCTTTGGGATGGTCCTAGTCAAATGCTGATTTTATAATGAGAAAACTCAAGTCAGAGGGTTTACATAATTTGACCAGAGTCACATGGCTGATACGTGTCAGGCAGGGCTAGGAGTCACCGGGCCACCTGCGGGCAGTTGGTACCCCCCAGGAACCTCCCTGGTTCAAAATGTGCTTTCTTTTGCTTCCAGGAGGAGGTCCTGGGCTCCTTTCTGACTCTAACCGATACTGAGACAAGCACTCTTGTCTGCCCACTGCTAAAAAGTAAGTTGCAGTGAAATAGTACAGTGGACCCTTGACTTATGAACTCAATTCATTTGTACGGGCTGGTTGGAACTCAAGGTGGTCAACTGAAGACTGGCTCCTCTACCCGGCCTTGAAAGTCTCTGTCCTGTACACAGGTGGATCTCAGTGTCCTTTGAGAGACACTGGCCCAGGATTTCTCAGTGAACCCCACACAGGAGAGGATGTTGTCACGTTCCTTCCAGAGTTCTGTAAGGGATGAATCTGTCTCTGAGACTGTCTGGAAGCACAAGCAGCCGGCATTCGGGTGGTAACCCAAGACTTTGTCCAGAAGTTAAAACTAAAATTCCAGGTGTAACCCAAGTTGTTCATAAATCGGGCTGATTGTAACTTGAGGGCCCATTGTATTTTAAAGCTGCTTTGTGTATTTATGCAGTACCTCAAATATCCAGTGATGAGTAGAGAGATTTCTTATTTTTAAAGGAGTGAAGCAGTCATGGGAGATGGAAAGTTAATACTTAACCAAAGAGCGTCTAGGTTTTCTGCAGCTCAATTAATGGCATCAAAACGAGCTTGTACAAGTCAACCTGGGAAGGTTAAGTAAGGACACCAATAAACAATAATTACATGATTGTATAACAACGTCAAACATGTTGCTTCATCTCAATTTATCCCAACAAACATAAAGACTGATGGGGTGAAACGTGAGCATAAGTAGGGAGACCTCAGACACTCCACAAACCAGTTACTGTTCTTCCAAATAATTTTTAATCTTTTTTTCCTTTGAGTAATTTTTTTATCCAGCTCAGAGAAGATCCGTTGGGATCTTTGGGTTTCACATATACCATTGGAAGAAAATACACGTTTTCTTCTCGACCCGTGTCACCTGCACACCTTCAGCTTCTGCACGATTCTCTTCCCTTTACTTTTTCCAAGAATCTGACTGGCTCTCCTTTTTTTTTCACCATCATAAACAAAAAGAATCAGTATGCAGTTACGAAAGTAACTGCGGTGTTTAAAAAAAATGTGGGGGGGCATTTAAAACTGAAGCAAGAAAACTCACTCAATTTAACCTTCTGTGAGTTAAATCAATCTACCAGGACTAAATGTCTGGATGTTTTTGTGGCCCTGTGACACCAAAGAACACAAAACAGGCTCAAACAGGGTCCTAGCGCTCAATCTGCACTGAGCTGCTGGAGTTTCTCTGAGTGCTAGTTTTGCTCTTCGAACTACGTAAGCCCAACTGTGGAACTAGGTCAAAGGGATGGCAGCTGTAAGAATGGGTGCAGGATGGACTCGGCTGTTCTCCACCAACAGTTTTTAAATCCAAGTACACAGAGTTCTAACAGTTTCACCCAAAGCACAGTAAGAAATGAAGGGATCTCTGCTCCTTCTTCCTCACACTGGAAAACTTACTGACTCTCCAAGGAATCCCAGGTATCTACTCTTTTCTCAGATACAACCGATTTGAATTAGTATCTGAGCAAAGCCTGTAATTGATGCCTTAATGTGTTAAAGTGAGCAAAAACCTTATCTTTAAGCAAACGGCTGAAAAGAATCAAGTGTCACCTACAGAACACAGCTGTTCCTGAGACAGAGTACAGAGACCAAGCCTGGAGGCTGGACTTTCTCCCGATAGGTAATAAGGAGCTGCTCTCTACTGCCAGTTCCCTGCAGGATTTCCAGGCCCTAAACTGAGACAAATCCTCAATAGCCAAGTAGGAAGTATAAGATGACAGAGTTATTCCTAAAGATTAATTTTTCATTGTCCATTATTCTGAGACCGTGTTCTTATTTTGTACGTGTTAAAACCGTCTTTATTAAAAAGTAAAATGAAGCTAGGTGTGGTGGCACAGGCCTGTAACCCCAGCCCTCAGTAAGCTGAGGCAGGAGGTTTGCCCGGAGCTCAAAGCCAGCCTGGGCTACACAGTGCGTTTGAGACCAGCTGAAACTACAGCGAGACTCTGTCTCAAAAATAACCAACAAAACAAAAAGTAAGATGATGGCAATAGTTATTAAAAGCCCATTAAAGACGAGACATCTGAGTTGGCCTCCTTGGATTTCTACATGCAGGAGTCCAAAAGGCCTGGCAAGCACTGAGTTACGGCGGCACCCAGGTGCTGAGGAACAGCAAACGCTGTGATCTCAGCAAATTGTTTTCCCAAGGAGATTGCTTTCAAAGCAAAATGAGGCCAAACGCGAAGACAAGGTATCAGCGGGATACTTACAGCATGCAGTCCTCGAGCGTCACAAGACGGCACAGGAATGGGTGCGATTTCCTTCACACCAAGCTTTCTGCAACACTGAACACCGCCCCAGTCACTCAAGGGTGACAGTCACTGCGGCAGGAGGCCCACTGCTCCAGAATGGACCTGTTCTCATTCCACCCAGGCTCCTCAGAGTCTGTGACCATAAAAAAACAAATTCTCCTCCAGTCTGGTCGTTGTGAAAGGCACTGGCTTCCTGATTCAGCTCCACCGGCTGTGCTGTCTCAGTCCCGGTGGCCACAGTCAGTGAGGTTGGTGCAGGGTCAGCTGCAGGTAACAGCGGTGACCATGACAGGCGTGGAGTATGACGCGAGAACCCCAGACGCCTCCCTGAAGACCCCGCTGAGCCACTCACACAAGCTCCTGCTCCTCAGGCCAGCCCGAAGGACTTACACTGCCACCTCAGACTCCCACGAAGACATCACAGCTGTGCAAAGGCACACGGCACCGAAATGCAGCTCACATAGGGCTCGGGTGGTGGGGCTGTTAGTGTCAGCTGACTTTCACTGATAAGAGCCTGACTGAGCTATGGTGGTGCAGGTCTGTAATACCAGCATGTTGGAGGCTGAGGCAGAACTGCCAAGAGCTCTGGGTAAGACTGAGCTATACAGTGAGTTCAAGGCCAGCCTGGACTACACAGCAAGACCGTCACAAAAATGAAGCAAAACATCCCCCAATGAAACGAGAACAACAATGAAAAGAAGCCCAGATAGCCAAATATTTCCTGAAATAAATGCATGTTAATGCATTTTTTTTCTTTCTTTGAGACAATGTCTCGTTATGTTCCGGGCTACCTTTGAACTCACTATGTATATAGCCTAGGCTGGCCTTGAACTCCAGATCTTCCTGTCTCAGCCTCCTGAATGCTGGGATTCCATGCTCGTGCCACCATGCCCAGCTGGACATTCGTTCTATGAAGTTTCTCTTGCTGTTTAGGAAGCAGGATTAAGCAAAGCCTGAACACAATTCTTTACTATAGAAATTAAGATTAAATGCAGCTCTGATTGTCTTTCAAAAGAAAATGATGCAGCCTTTCCCAGAATTATTGCACCCTATTTCTCACCTGCTTCTCCCAACATCATTTAGGCTTTGAGTTTTCCAGTAGAGTCCTTGGGAAGCACCAGCAGGCACAGCTGTCACTGGTGAGGCACCTGGACTCCGTCCCTGCGCCATGTGCGAAGTGGCCATCTCCACCCGTTGACCCAAGCAAGCGGCTGCCGCCTACACCACACCACTGCCAATGCCACTGGTCACAACAGCCACCGTAGGTGATGTGGCCCCAGGGTGTTCAATCCTAAGTCCTCGGGCATGGACCGTGGCTCTCCTTCAGTTCTGCAGAGGGTTAGGGTCATGTGGGAATTTGGGATTCTTCAGCCACATTTGGAAACAGGAATATTACTCAGAAGTAAAACAGCAACTACAGAGCATCAACTGATGCTTCACTTGAGTACATAATTTTGAAGTCGGCTTTGCTAACTGAAAAACAGCGTCAGTCTGTAATTTGCACATCACAGGCATTTCAGATTGGTGCAATCTAATCTCCTACTGGACAAGAGAAGAGTTTTAAAAGATCTCTGCATGTGGGTAATAAAATGGCTTTTCCATAGGCAACTAAAAATAAATTCAAAAGGCTTTGCAGTACAATATGTATTTATTTTTGGTTTTTTGAGACAGGGTCTCACTGTGAAGATCAGGCAGGCTTTGAACTCACTATGTAGCCCAGGCTGGACTCAAACTTATGGTGATCCTCCTGCCTCAGCCTCCTGTGTGCCAAGGTTTTTTTGGTACCAGGGATAGAAGTCAGATCCTTGTGCTTGCAAAGCAGGTGGCAGAACCACTGAACTAAATCCGCGGCCCCTGTGTGGTAAGATTACAGGCAAGTACTGCCACACCAGGCTAGGCACAATCTTAAAAATAACAGGTAACACACGAAAGTCAGTTATAACTACATGTTTATTAACGATAAAGTCCTTGTTTATGCACCAGAATAAAATATGTGCCTATAAAAACACAGAATTAGGAAGATACATTTAGAAGCTGCCATTATACGGTTTTATGGTGAGGAGAGAAGACCTTAGCCCACAACATTTCCCTCATATTACATATAAAATAAAATACCAAAATATTTCATGATCTGAATTCGTATTTCTTATATATACTAAAACCAAATCCTAGTTGTACAATTCAGACATAAGTTAAATATCTGGCCAAAAGACCAGATTAACAACAAATATGGAGAAATATCCAAATGGTGTTAAATAAATGTATTTGTTTCAAAGGATAACCATTCACAAAATATTTGAACTAGTAAATCAATAGTGAAACAAATGCATCAGTTTGTTTTGTTCTTTCCCAACTTGGTTTGGAATGATTTCTAAGCAGCTACAATACGTGCCAAGCCATACAAAAGAAATTAAGGTGGCAGGCTCTGACCCAGAAACAAAGGCAGTTTTGGTCTTTAGAGCCAGCGTAATAAATGCACGAAAAGTCCAGATGGCTTAGATTTGCTTTACACAGGGTAACTGAGAAGACTGACATTTAAGCTATTTATTTAGCAAGTCTGATCCTAAAGGCAATTTTAGAGCCAGAATTTCTACAAGACAAAAAAGAATGCATTTAGGCAAGTGAAGAATTAATTGGTCTCTGTTAAGACTCCTCTTGGTATGAATCTATTGGGCCCAGCCCGGCAATCATAGGAAAAATGTCTTTACCGCAGAGCACCCCGAATTCCTGCAGCCAGTTCTCATTTATATTGGCTTCGCACATTAGATCCAACTTGCCAGCCTCCAGCTGCTGACATATACTTTTTAAAGAACTTCTGAAAGGAACATAAAATCAATTCTCAGTGAGAGTCTAAGGCCCGAAATGGACACTCGCAAGGGAAAGCGATGAAGAGGAGCCAGAGGACAACTGAGCTCAACCTCAGGGCAATGCTGAGGTCTTGGGGCTGACTCCGAAGTTTGGGTGGCTGGGGAGCAAATACTTCTAGGCTTTTCCCACCATGTAGCGTGGCTTTTACCAGAAGAGCAGACAGTATAAAACTTTATTTCTACCCAGGGATCAGTCTGACATTTCTAAACGGGAAGTCTCTCGGGCAGAGAATGAAAGAGCAGCCATTGTGTTCTGGAGACTTCACATTTGCTACTCCCTTGCAGGGTTTCATGCTTTTAAGAAACGGATGCAATTAACCCTACAGCAGTGGCCCCAGGGGTGTCACTGCTAGCTACTGAGCTTCAGCTGACGCTGGGAAGTCGGGTCACTGGGATGGACAGACCCTGAAGTCACTTCTGTTGATGAACAGAGAAGTGGTATCAAAAGATGTTTATAACTGGCACCCTGAGACCCAGAAACACAGTCACATGGTTATCACAGGATCAGAATGGCATCAGCCAATTCAAAGTGTCGCGCACTGTGGAAGTCTGTAAACCCCAGGCTAAGGGTGCAGCCCCCACACCTCATATGGGTCAGGGACCTCCTGAGACTGCCCAGGACCTGCAAGGCCGAGGTCACAGGTTTTTTTGGTTTTTATCATTGGCTGCACTGGATCCTTTAGGAAAAAAAATCAAACTAAACAATGCAAACTTAGAAAAAGAAATAGTATCAGTTAATATGTAAGTGCACAGTATTACTGGTTTATTTGCTGCTACTGGTAAGGATGAATGAAGTGTGGGTGGGCAGAAAAGGAGAGGAGAGAGTGCCTAAGGAAGGAGGGAAAGAAAGGCCCAATAAAAGTAAAGCTTGTGTATAACTTTAGGCATGAAGTAACAAAAGTTTATCGCTGTCAATAAATGAGTGTGCCCTTGGCGTAATCAGGTGGGTAGAGACGGCTTTCTCCATGCATATGTAAATTAACTCACTAGTGAGGTGCTTGTTTTTATTCTAAGTACATTCATTCACAGAGTTTATTGGGCAGGAAGCAAGTACAAACAAAAGGTTAACTCACTTTTTGCCTCTGGCCTTCATACACTGATCAAATTTCTTAACAGTTCTGTGAATTCCTGGAGTGACCCTAACAGGCCGGAGGGAGGGTGACTTCAGAGTTTATATCACCGGTTCTTGTTTCTACCCTGGTTCTTGTTTCTAGCTTCCTCCCTGGCCCTTGCCAGCCTCAAGCAGGAGTCGGACTGCAAAACCCCAAGAGCCCGATCCCTAAAGAAGAAGCCCTCTTTCCTCACAATGCTGGTTTCTCTCTCCTGTGACCTGCACCAAAGCGCTTTGGTTCGAGCCTGGTCACATGTAAAATGACACAACCAAACTAAATCATCTGGAAATCCTTTCCTCCCCTCCCAGGTCCCTGAGTTTAACAAATGCACAATAAATACAGGCTTGAATTAAAATGACCTGGGTGACCCTCCTGGGAATTTCTTCAGGACTCCCTGCAAAGTGCCTGCCAGGCAGCCACGGAGGGGTGAGGGTTAACAGCAGGGAACAGCACCCCTGGTGCCCTGTGAGCCACTGCTAGGCAATGACTGAAAGGAGAGCCTCAAAAGTTCATTCTAAAAAATTCATTATCAGACATCATGGCATTGCTCTTCTCAAAGCTGTATCTTCTCTCCTTAAAAATTACTATATTTGCTAGGTGTCATGGCACAGGGCTATAATCCCAGATGCAAGGAGGCTGAGACAGGAGGATCACAAATTCAAGTGCAGCCTGGGTAACTTAGTGACCTACAGAGTTGTCCAAAAATGGTAAACAGATAAAAAGGGCTGGGTATGTAGCTCAGTGTGAGGACTGTACATTCAATTCCCAGTGCCCCCCCACCCCAATTACCACTCTCTACAGCTGCTAAATAAGTGTTAAAGAAACCTGCAATGGCCACTGGTGTATCCCTGCTTTGAGGTCAAAGCCTCAAAAGTCTTCCCTGTGCAGGAAATGACGCTGCCACCCTCCGCTTGCTTGGGTAGAAGAGGCAGGAGGAAAATGACCCTGGTGTCCCGTGGGTGTAAAACTCATGGCCTCGCTGCTTTTCCAGAGACGACTGGCCAGCTGCTCCTTCTCCAAGGCTGTCTGCCACCTGCTGCCACCGACCTGCACTCGAGATCCTCCAGTTGGCTTGTGCTGTGATCCTGCCTCTCCCGCCCAGGGCGACTTCCGGGGACCCTCGATCTGCATGGAGGAATCTGCACGTGGCCTCCAGGTACGGTGTGGACTCGGGGCTTCTTCCGGGCCTGTCCACACTAACTCTCCAAGGACGGGAGAGGGGCCGGAGCAGAAGGAGCAGAGAGAATGAAGATGAGTTACGCGCATGTAACAACGCCCTGTGAGGACGGGAACCATCGAGCACTGCCAACATGGACTAATAAAAAGAGAAAAAAATGTAGTGCCTATTTTCAGATACGAAAATGTAACTGGAAATGGTGCCTGAGAGAAAATCTAAATTGCCTTTTTAAAACATGTCAGAATTATTGCACAGTTCTCAAATATAATTCTTATCTTAAAAGTCTTATGCATCAAAATACCACCCTTACTTTGAGGAATACGAAAACATATGATCCACTATGAACACTCAGTGCTCTACCATTGGACTACATTCCCATCCCTCCCGGTCAATGCTGTATCTTTTTCTTTCTTAGGTTTAAAAGACTATTCTAGTCTATTTTATTTATTTTTGGTACTGGGGATCGAACTTGGGACCTTGTACTTGCAAGACAGGCGACAGTGGAACCAGTAGGCTACGTCCCCGGCCCCCAAGAGCTCTTTTAAATAACACAGTGAAATACAGAGTACAACACAGACGAATCCTGGGAACACTAAGGGAAGTGGAAAAGTCAAAACACAGAAGATTAAATGTGGCAGGGCTCCGTGTATAAGAGGCACTCAGATCAGGCAGAGCTATGGCAAGTGGTTGCTGAGGCAGGAGGGAGCAGGAGTGGGAAGGCTGGGAGACAGTTCAGGGGTGTATGGTTTCTTCTGCAAGTAATAAAATGTCCCCAAACATTCTGTACTGATAACTGCACCACTATTTCAATATACTAAACGCTCCTAATTATACATTTAAGCGGGTGAATTGTTTAGGATGTGAATTACATCACAACAAAGCCCTTAAATTAAAAAACAAAAAACGATTCTTTTTCATTTTAGATTACAGCTCAAACCGTGTGAAAGGTATTGACCAATCAAACCCTACGTGCTATAATGTAGCTCTTTTAGCTACAAGTTACATCTGCAAACTATATAAAAACTCTCATTAAAGACAGTAATGGGCCGATAATGGATAGTCAGTCTGAGGATGACTTTCCCCACAAGGCAAAAATATTTTCTCTATGGAATTTTCATCGCCGCAGAGAACGTCCCCAGTGGGGACACACGGCCGCGTGGGGCTCGGGGTATTTCCATATGCTCCCTAGTGCTACCTGCAGTGTATGAGTCCGATATTCTAAGGCCAGTTATTAAGTCCTTCTGGTAGAGAAAAGTAAAGACAGCAAACGCATGTTTCAAATGAGCCATCTTAATGAAAGTGCGTTACGTATCGGGAACAGTAAACTCTGGCACTGAAACGGCTGCAGCTGAACCCTGCTGGCCCACCACTGCTCTGGGAAGGAAATTAGGTTAATCGGACAGGGTTTGCCCTGTACAGAGGCTGCTGACAGCTTTCCCTGGAGGCCAGGTCTCTTTTGAGTCCTTTGTTACTAAAGCTTCCTGAAACTGGGGGCAGCGTAGCCCCAATCTATTGTCACAGGAGCGACTGTCCCTGGGCTGTCCCAGTTAACATCTGTCGCGAGTTCTGTCAGCCTGAGCAGAAGCAGATGTGTAGCGCGGGATGCCGTGAACTCGGACGTGGCAGGAAGATGGATCCACTTCAGAACAGAGGGTCCTTCCAGGAGGCTGAAATACTCGCGGAATTCTCCAGGGTGCGCTACCCTGTTACCCTCACTGGAAGCCTCAGGAATACCATTAATTATTTCAGAACCGCTCCAAGAACCATTTGGAACCCCCAAACAGCAGCTAGTGTGAAAGCTCTTTTCCCTCTGAAACAAAGCCACTGCATTTGCAGTTCCTAATACAGGCCATGTGTTGGATTCACAAACGTATGATTCCAGTTTTACGTGAGACTGCACAAGCTGGCCATAAAGTCTTCATCTAGAAAACCCTTTGGGGATTATTACTTTTTCCTCAGAAAATTCTTTGGACTAATTCAAGTCACCTTACTCACGGCAGCACGTGTAAGTACACGTGCAGGTATTTCATCCTGAACAAGGTCATGAAAATGTATCAACACAGATTAAACACAAATTCCAAACAACGCTCCCAAGAGTTGTTCCTCGGGATATTTTAATGGTATCAATGAATCACTCAAGCAAAACAAGAGGGTATAGGGTCCCCATGATGGGGTCTCTTGGCCTTGGAGTCTTGCTCAAGCTCCCGGCTTGATCAGGGCGAGGGCTTGGGTGAGACAGTGGCCTTCGATAAACCCACCCTGGGCTGGGCACGGTCTTTACCCTTGGTCCGCTCTTCTCTGTTGCTGACTGGGAGAAGCAAGGTGATAAAAGAGCTTGCCGGAAATCAGGCTAACTACAGAAAGTCTGGGGTTCTAACAGCAGCTTCTGAAGAGAGAACCACTCAGCTCCGGTTCTGGTACCCCCTTTGAAAATGAGGAACATTTGGGGCCTTGTTAAATTGGCCTTGCATGTTAAATGGTAAATTAGCAACCGACCTTCTCTTTCACACTAGAAATAAGCACTAGGGTGTCAGGACTTATCCACAGCCTCTAGATGTGCACCAGCACACTGGATTTGTTCTTGAAACACCTCAGGAAGGCACAGATCTTCCTGGAAATGGGAAGAACACAGAGACAACACCAGGGCTTCTCCCACTTTTGCTGTGCTTCTCTCCATTAAGCCAACCCAGACAAAGCCACTGAATCACAGACTAGTCCCTGGACAGGTGTTAGCATGCAAAACTAAGTTATCGAGATGACTGCATCTTGTGTCTGACACAACAGGGCTGAAGAAGGGCTCCTTTACGGCTGTAGGGGGTCAAGAAGGTATTTGGCCCCTGTTGAGTGAGTACCTGTGTTTGTAAAGAACGTCACCGTCTCTGGGCGGACACGTGTATCAGAAGCTTTCATTTAGAAAATGCATTAAAAGAAAAATAGCCTGCCAAGCCCTACACACTTTTTTTATAACTGTGGCCCAGCTCCTGGGAGCTTGTTAGAAATGCACATGTTTCTTATGAAAACCTCCAATATAAATTAAGAGCAAAAGAAAAGAGAGGGTAGGAAATAGGGAGGCAGACTTTGTGGAGACACAAAGGGGATCTTGGGAAGAGGAAGTAAAGGTGATTAAGATGAGGTAATAGTTCCGGTTCTCCAAGATGAGTGTATTAGTATCCATCTCAAACTTACACCGAAAAAATAAGAATGAAATGCAAATGTTCTGGATCCATCTGAGAGTTGATCGGAAACTTCACAGTGCTTTTGACAAGCACGCAAGGGGATTCCAATGCCGACTCCGTTTTGAGGGCCACTACCCTAGGCAGCAAGAGATGGGACTGCTGCCTCAGTCTACCTTTCCTTCCAGGGAGAGTGTAACCAATGGACCCAGTGACGGATCAGTGGGTCCATCGGGGTTCCAGGCACAGGCGCAGGCTGGCAGGATGCTGGGTGCTGTGAATGCCCAAGCTCTACGTGGAGGCTGCGCTGAGGTATCAATCACAGTGTGGAGCCCTGCAAGTGGCTTCGGTTCGCGGCCAGGAAAGGGCCTCCTGAAGGGCCGGGGCATCGCCCATCCCACATGTGCAGCGACTGGGGACAGGACACCAGGGTTGGCAAACTTTGGAGGCAAAGGCCAGAAGGCCAATCCTTTAGGCTTTGTGACTCTTGAGTGGTACTGCTGTCCCACAGGGCAACAGACTGCTGGCCGAGCAGTGGGAATGACCCCACAAACTTCACGAACTGGGGCTCCGGCTCACTTCACCTGTCACAAAACATCCCTGACTTTTCCCAAACACTTCGATGTGTACGAAATGACCCGAGCTCACAGGTCTTCTAAAAGCAGGGTGCACGCGCAGGCTGCAGCTTGCTACTCCGGTTCTGTTAAGCCCAGGAGTAATTACACAAAATCACGGAGTCACCCATGCCATCCTCGGGACACGTCATTTCTGCTCAAACAGCTGCCGTCAAAGAAGCTCCATGTCACTTTGCTTAAAATGCAAGGCTTAATTTGCATTCGGTCGCATATGCAGCCTCAGTGAGCCACACGGAGCGAGGTATGAAGCGACCCTGTCCCTCAGGGAGGTCAGTCCCTCAGAAGTAACTCCAAGCTTGATTTCCTAGGTGCCTGCTGCCTTTAAAACAGCAGCACCACCTGACAGTCTGGAATAGAACCTGGAAAGTCACCCTTTCCCTGCAGTCCTCAGCAGCACGCATTCCTTGAATAGAAGTTAGCAGATAGGTGTACACTGGGCCTAAGCGCTTCTGCCCCCAGCATGGCAGGTCCTGCGAGGGACCCACAAGCTCTGACCCTGCATCTCACACGGCCCACGGCGGGGTCTGTCCCGAGGAGAGCAGAGAAATGGGTCGGCCTTGGTCTGTAGACTGCCGGAGCCAACAGCCATGGCCCGTGGCTTAGAAGCAACAGAGATTTACTTCTCACAGTTCCGGAAGATGGAAAGTCTAAGATCCAGGTGGTAGCTGAGTCACATCAGGGAGAAGTGTTTTCTGCTTCATAGATGGTGAAGGGGTCGTCATGAGGGGTCGTCCAGGAATCTACCCCCTTTCATGCCATCACATTAGGGTAAGGTTTTAACATTCAGATTGCAGCGAGGCTTTAAGTCACCACCAGTGCCCGTCCTACAGGTCTCTCCTAGGCACTGTCCCAGCCTCATTCCACCAAGGCCTGGGTTCTCCTTCTGGTCCCAGCCCCTTGAGATGGGAATAGGTCAGGTTTTCCTCACAGTATCAATGTACTCTCCGACTTCCCGGAATACAAAGTCTGCATGCCCCATGAGGACCGCTCAGCTGGGTATAGAGGGGATTTGGAAAACCTTCACACTAACTTACAAGTGGCAGAAGTACCCCAGAGGAAGCTCTG